GAGCCCGCCTGCGGAGTGCGGCCTGCCCAAGTCGCGACTCGCGACTGCCTCGAGCGGTCGAGGCGTCGTCGCGTCGAGCCGCCTGCGGCCTGCCCAGGCCAGCGCGTCCAGCGGTTCTGGCGTTCTGCGACACAGCGAGTCAGCGAGTAGCGACAGTTTCGCGTCCGCGACAGTCCAGCTTCCGGCGTCCGCGCGGCTGTTCCGTGTCCGGCGTCAGGCTTACGCGGGTCGGGTCGGGTTGACCCGAACCCGAAGCGGGTCGGGTTCGGGTCCATAAAATCGACCCGTTTGAAAAAACTGGTCGGGTCGACCCGAACCCGAATAGTACCGGGTCAATTTCGGGTTGACCCGAACCCGACCCGTAACCCGAAATTGACAGGTCTAATCCTGATGAGCCCATTGCATGTATGGTTTAGTGGAAATGCTACAAAAATAATAGGATGTATATATGTATGTATATATATGTATGTATGTATGTATATATATATGTATGTGTTTGTATATATGTATGTATATATATGTATTTATGTATGTATGTATGTATAGAAATAATTACTAATTAACTAATACATTAATTGTTATCTAAAGCTTTTACAGAAAATTTAAATAATTATACAAGTAATTAACTTAGAAAATCAAGGCACTAAGCTACAAATAATTCTATATGCCACAAAGCTCAAGATTGAGAGTTAAATTTAATGAAAATTAAATGAATATTTATAAAAATCTATACTTATATTTATTTTGAATGCTTTGGGTATTATAACTACCTCCATAATATTAATCTTTAATGTATAAATCGGGTTAAGAACGGGTCAAAATCGGGTTGTTGGGTTGACCCGAACACGACCTGAAACTCAAAATGGGTGAAATATTCGAACCCTAACCCGACCCGTTAATTAACCGGGTTGACTCGAACTCGAAATTTTCAGGTCTAGGTCGGGTTTTTGAGTCATGTCCAATATTGACACCCCTACGAAGAATATTGTGCTTTTGCTTCCAATCTTCGACGGATGTAATAGAGATCATTTTTCTTTCAGTTTTCACTATGATGTGCTGATAATGCTCCGAGGGATTATACAAAGCTATCATGTACAAGATGATAGGCTTTTTTGAAATTGGAATAGTGAGAATGAGCAGACTTAATAGATATTTCTTGATACTATCTGTAAAACCCGAAATCAACATTAATAGGTCGTCACACGCTTTTCAAAGCGCTACGAAGAGACTTAAGTGAGATTTTCAATATTAACGAATTTCAATGGAAATAATTTCAGAAAATCCTACGCAAAATTCTTATCGTTTTGGTATATATAAATATACCTAATTTTGCCTATATTAGGAATTAAAATTAATCCAAGTCTTTAAATGCCAACTTTGCCCCTAGGATTTTCTTAAACCAAAATTACTTAAGGGCATAATGGACATTTGCAAAACTCCTCTTCTCCCTATTATGAGCCAACCGAACCCTCATCCCTCCCCATTCGCGTGAAATTACCGAAAACGAGAGAGAGGGAGCGGACGGTCCGGTGGTCAGGCAAGGGGCGACGTGCGTTCCGGCGACGATATTCCAGCGAGAAAAATAGTCCAAATCGAAGAGGACGACGAAAGGAGTCTTCAGGTATGTTTAGTTTGAAATGAATCCCTCTCGATCTCTAGATTTTTGGAAAAGAAAATATTAGGGTTTTGTAAGATTTTGGTTTTCTTTCATAATTTCTTTACGAAAACTTTAAGGAAGGATTAGACGAATGTTTTAGAAATGAAAACAAAGAGATTAGAGGAATTTTTTGAGAAATAAAAATTAGGGCTTTTTGTTAAAAACCTAATTTCTACAAAATGTTTTTAGAAAAGTTATTTCCAAAGACATTAGAAATGTTTTGAAAGCATGAAATTGGATTTTTGATAAAAATTTGCTTTTCGATAATTTCCTAAATTATTTAATCCGAAAATTAATTAGGTAATTATTAAATTTTATTTAGGAATAATTCTAGAATAAAGATTTGAGCAAAATTTAAGATTTAGGAATTTCTAAAATTTAGATTTAAATAATTCCGAAAATAGAAAGTAATGTTAATTATTGGATATAATCATGAGGTAAACTTAGTTAAATTGTAACTGTCTTTTAGATGTGGATTAAGGTGAAGGCAAGTGGTTGATGGCGTCGTACAACGTTGTGGTATTTATTCATTGCTTGCAAGGTAGGTGATTTGCATTTTAATTGAATTTATGAAAATTTTTAATTAAATATTTTCACACTTTTAAAATATTACAAATTTATGTTCCTGAATTCTTTTTTATTCCTGTTAGCTTTTCAATCTTTGCTTAATTCATGTTATATTATTTAAACTGTTCAAATTAAGTATATGCTTTAAGAAATAAGAAATGCAAGTTTTTATTTACCCGAAAAAAATATTGAAGATCACATGAGGCATTCAATAGTTTCAAATTTCTTGATGAAAATAAATATTATATTAAAGTGATGGCTGCTCGACGACCTTACACGTATCGTCGTAGGGGACCTCAGGAAGAAATGTTCCTTTTTATGATTTTAATTTGAGTCTTTGTGTTTGTTTCTGTGTAGTTTGTGAGTTTAAGTTTGAGTTTGGAGTTTATGTAATTGGGATTTAAAAGTTTTAGTAGTTTTGTGTGATGAACAATATGAAACTCTCTTTTATTTGATGTTGTTTAGTGGCTTTTTCATTTAATGTGGGATGATGTTTAATTTATGTTATTATAAAAGATAATGAAATTGTTTATGTTTATTTATGCTCTTCCGCCCGACCGACTGTTCCCGCTCCGTTTTTATCGGGCTAGCCAGGCCGGGTCGTGACACTATCAAAAGTCTCTTGATATTCGTCATTCCGTTTGAAATGAACGTCCTTCTTCATTAACTTAGCAAATAGTTGACTTCTGCTCGGCAAATTTGATATCAAATGCTAAATGGATGTTAGTTGCATTTTCCAAAGAGTGGAGCTAGCAAAGGGTTTTAAGGAGTGACATTTTGATTATTGTCTTTATTTTGTTGGGGTCAATTTCAATTCCTTTGTGGCAGAAAATGTATCTAAAAAATTTTCTTTTGGAAACATTAAAATTACGTTTGAGAGGGTTTAACTTGAGGTCAAATTTTCTAATCATCTCAAATACAACCATAAGATCATCAAAGTGATTTTTTTAATTTCTACTCTTGACATAACACTCAATCATTTGTTGGATTAGGTCATCAAAGATGTGCATCATAGCCCTTAAGCATATAGCTTCAACATTCTTTAAATCGAATGACATAACTATATAGTAGAATATGTCGATAAACACCCTAAATGATATATCTTTTTAATGAAATAAAATAAAATACAAAGTGACAAAATAGATGTGAATTGAACATCCACGCAATTCCTTGTACCTAATGCACTTGATATACATGTAGTCACCTCACATGCGGACAAATTTATGTTTTGCTTTCGTGTGATACTCCATGTAAGGTGCCAATTTTGAATAATTTCAACATTTTGTATGTGTTGGTAGAGTCCATTTCATGAATGGTCAATATTTGAGCTAATTCTCATTATGTTGTATCTGTAGTTCGTCATTTTTGACCGCATTCACTCGAATTTATCGTGAGAGGTCCTTATTGGGTAAATTCGATGTCCTGAATGAAGGAAGAAAGTCGGTTTTGTGAAAGGATGAAGATCGACAATTTTGGTTAATGTCACCTCGTACACTATCATATTTGTGTTGGTTCTATTGAGTTGCACACGAGTGATTTTTCTTTGGTAAATTTGATACCTTGCAAGTATTGGTGCAGTTTGTTTAATTAGTGGTCAATTTTTTTGAGTGATTTTGACCACAATTGCAATGCCTCAAAGCTTGTTTTGCATGAAGTCACGTTGATTGGTCATCCTTTTCGTTGTACTTGTTTGATTGTGGAACGCATATAGAGGTCAATAAGTGGTGTATTTGAACAATGAAAGACTCAAATAAGGTCGGCAACAGTTGTTCAATCCTCCCTCCATGGCTTCCTTGCTTGTGCAAGTCGTAGGGGTCCTGGTGAGGCCTTCTTCAGCGTGCTCCACACGTAACATCCCTGATTCTTTGTTGTAAGACCTACCAAAGCCTGCTCCAACAAGCTCCATACGCGACTTCTTTGCATATCTTTTTTGGGGATTCAGGGATTTAAGCCGTTGCGGATGAGGAGATAGTTTGAGGGATTGGAATGAGGTTTTGTGGGCATGAGTGCTAGATGAATAGGAGAGAGAGAGTGTGCTAGAAGTGGGAAGGGACAAAAAAAAATGGAAGGGGGGTCATCTGTAGGTTCAGTGCTGAACAAGATAATAATAAAAATAGTAAGAATAATAATTATTACTGTTATAATATATATATATATATATAAACTTTCGTTGCTTAAATATATCAAAGTTGCATAATTGCCTCGTGCGTCTTCCTGAATTGCCCTCGTGCAGTAACCCATGCAATATGAGTGTCTATTTAAGCTATTTTTGTTGTCTTGTATACACCGACACAATCCATTTCACAAACGGGTGCTATTTGTGTATTTTAATTTTGTGACGATTCATTTTGATCAATGTTCGCATAATATCGTATTTGTGGCTTTTCATTTTCGCCGAATTTTGTTGGATCGATCTCATAGTTCTTATTGCGATCAACAACTTCATGTTGTATATGTTTACTTTTTTGTATTTTCCTTTGTACTTGGGGATAATTCTATTTAATTTCCCTAATTGTACTACTTTTTATTTTTTAATATTGCTCTAAAAAAAGAATGGAAAACAAGCAAACAACACCTTGTGTTATAAGTAGCTCGTTGGAAACTATTTCATGTTACAGATAATGAATTTTCCAGCAATATTTCTTTCTTTTTTAACTTTTGTCATGGTTAGAAAATATGATTGCATAAATTGTCCTCATTTTGTACAAGAAATCTAGAAATTTAATGTTTCAATTCAGCTTCAACTTTGCTGATCTTATTCCTTGGTTACATTCAGCTTGCAGAGTTTCAGATTGGTCTTGGTATGCTAGCGGCAGTTTCGGGTCATTTATTGTCTCCACAGGTTTGTTACTGACATGTAATGATTTATGACATTAATGTCTTAACCTTGTAAACAACCTTTTATTGCACTTTTTGAGAAAACTGGGTGATTTTCGTGGTGCCTGTCATAAGTGAATGTATTCCATAGGAATTTCTATATAGAAATGCATGACTAACAGTCCTTGTCCTGTCAGCTTGACTAATATTGTGTCAGGTTGATGAAATATGTATACACATCTAGGAGGTCCATAATCTTAACTAGTTCTTGATTTGTTTAGATAACTTTGGCTTAACGAGAGGGAACACTTCTTGTAATTTCTGTGTTTTACATTCTCTAAACATGAGCAGTATCTTTTGGAATGCCCTTCATTACACAGTTAGTAGGTAATTCTCAGCAATTCCAAATCATCTGCAGGCCTTTTCTTTCAGAAGTTTCACAGAATGGCAAACGAGTCCTTTCCTTTTTTATGCTAAAATTTTGCTGCATAATGGTTTCTCAACTCAAGAATATAGTGTTGTAGAAACATTGTTTGGCCTTCTTGGTTGGACACCGAAAACTGAATGGGCACTAGGGCTAGTTTTTCATTAGCGTACTGCATTACTTGGCACTTGGGCTAGTTTTTCACTAGCGTAATGCATACCTCTATTATGATTTATGAACCATGTCTACGGATGCATTCTTGCATTATGATTATTTATACAATCAATGATCAACAATATGATTCATCTGAAACATGCCATATAAATATCAGGTGAGCTCAATGATTCTCTATTGGAGATGTGCAACAAAAAATATATGAGGCATGCTAGTTATAAGATTATCTATTTCTACCTTAAAGCTATATGTTCATAAAACGACTAATAAAGTTTATATAGTAACAACAACAATTAATATCTATTATATTATGTGTGCAAACATCGATACAATTTAGATCCTACCACAATTATCAACGATTGTACCCTAACTAGAAAAAGTTCATTCACCCCTAAATAAGAAAAGCTACCTACATCATGAAATAGCACTTAACAAGAAAAAGTTCATTCACCCCTTTATAAAGAAAAGCTACCTACATCAAGAAATAGCACTCAAATCCAACACACAATTGAAATTCAAAGGAATAACACCAAATAGTGAAACTAAAACTGAAAGTCAATCACATGCATACACATGAATTAAATATATTAATTAAAAAGTAATCTAAGCTAACATAACATAAACTAACTTATGTCATTTATTTAGTTTTTCAACCTAACTTAATTTTCTAACAATGGACTAGTACACTATATTAATAAGCCCTAAAAAAATTTCATTTGCAATATGAATATGAAATTTGAAATGATTCGTAAGCATCACAGTAACAACACCTAAATACTTATTAAAATATTTTTTTTTATTAAACTCATACTTAAATTGCATGATTTATCAATTATAAGCTTTCATATTAATAATTTTCATTACTATCATACCTAATAACCTACATATTAAGATTTTGTTTGTGCATAAGGAAGCTAATATTACGTGGGAAAAATAGCTAGTGATATTAAGAATGTTGTAAAAAATATGCTTCGAGTATCAAAGGGAAGAGCTTGTAATAGTAAAAATAGTTTGTGGTGGAATTAAAATGTGCAAGAAAAAGATAAAAAATAAGAAGATTAGATATAAAAATGGGGTTAGATGTAAAAATTTAATATTTGAGAAATATATAAAAAGCCCGTATGGAGTCTATGAAAGTAATATACAATGCAAATATTTTAGCTTTTAATAATTCATATAATAGATTATATACTAAGGATGACTAAATATATGTATAAGTTAGCCAAACAAAGAGATAGGAGTCTTAAAGATTTAGTTCAAGTGAAGTATATTTATGATGAAGATAAAAAATTGCTTTTATTAGAAGAGGATATTCAACAAAGTTGGATGAGATATTTTGTTGAACTTTTCAATGAAGATTGTGAGAATGCAATTGACTTTAGTGCCTTTAGTACCCTAAATGAAATAAAGATTTTTTTTTATTGGTGTATTAGTTAAATAGAAGTTAGAGATGCCTTAAAGAAAATGAGGTGTATAAATGCTTAGGAGATGAAGGAATTTTTTGGCTAACTAAGCTTTTTAATATTATTTTGAAGACTAAAATGTGTTGAAGAGAGTTGCTACTTAGCTTTGCATGTTTTACATTCTTGCAACTTATATGTTTTAATGATACCAAATATTATTGTTTTGATTATTATATTCTCCTAACACATTTTTTTGGAAGAATTATTTTTTCTCTTGTATGTACTAATATTTCAAGAAAATCATACTCCAGATTGTTGAAGACTTCAAATCAAGTTCAGCTCAAAATATTTTGTAAATTAAAGTCGTATTTTTTCTTTTTATTGAGTCTGAGAGAGTGTGATTGTAATTCAGTAACTTAGCACACACACATCGGGGGAGAGCTTTAAAATTCACAATTTTTGAAACTGATCGTACAGTACGAACCATTTTCGTACGGGACGATCTGGTAAGTTTTACTCCTAAAAAGAGCAATGAAACGAACGGGGAGAGGGCAAATTATTTCTAAGTACTATTCATCCAGACGATATTTACCTTCGTCCCAGAACGATGCTCTCTAGATGCATTCGTTTGCACGATATTTAACGTACGTCTTAGGACGATGCTCTCTGGATGCCTTCGTCCAGACGATAATTACCGTCGTCCCAGGACGATGCTCTTTGGACGCGTTCGTTCAAATGATATTTAACCTACGTCCCAAGACGATGCTCTCTGGATGCGTTCGTCCAGATGAAAATTATGGTTCGTCCCAGAACGATGGGCTCTGGAATGGTCAAAATGAACTATTCGTCTAGACGATTAATATGGTTCGTCCTAGGACGATCTTCTCTGTTCTGGAAACTTAAGAGTCGTTCTATTTTTTGTAACAACGAACTATGTAAATAACTGTTCGTACCGGACGAACATTATTCGTACGGGACGACGATCGGGTACGAAGGGAAATCATACCAGTTCACATTTAGTTCGTACACAACAGTAGTTACACCGTTCATCCGTACGAACTAAGATCGTACAGGATGATCAATAACGCACATATTTGAGTAATTACAGTTTGGACGGTTTTTCGTGTCTTTCATATAAAAGGTCCACTTAAGACTGTCTTGAAATCTTTTTGTTTACTGGTCTTCATGCAAACTAAAGGGAGCTTAAAGGAGAGAGTGTGAGAGAGTGTTTGAAGGAGAGTTCTTACTACTGGAGTGTGAAGGGTTCACGTGGTATTCAAAGGTAAGGATCTCTATTTGTGAATTGTGATTACTTCACACTCTTCTCTTGTCCTTCTAGATTTCTCGTGAGAAGATCTTTCAAGGAGATCCGGTTATCTGCTGACACTCGAGGAGTGTGAACAGCCAAAGGTTCTTTGCCTACACTTGGAGAAGTGTGAAAGGACGAAGGTTCTCTACCTACACTTGGAGAGTGTGAACAGCTGACGGTTCTCTGCCTACACTTGGAGGGTGTAAAAGGACGACGGTTCTCTGTCGCACCGGGTAGTGGTGGAAGAGAGTTTTTGTGAAGGCTTCTCCGTCTTGCTGTGGGGGCAAAAGGAGAGACACTTGTGGTAATAGTGCAATACCTGAAATGGGATACTTTAGGGAGTGGATGTAGGTCGTGTTTGACCGAACCACTATAAATCTTGCGTCTTTTGTTTTCTGTTGCATATTTACTTTACTGTTTTTGTTTATCTGTGGTTGAAAAATTATTTTCAAAATTTCACTAAAAGTTTTTATCGGTTTAAAATAAGAGGAAATTTTTAAATTACTAATTTACCCCATCTTAGTTAGCTGTTGGGACATAAGCTTAGGTCTAACAACCTAATTCATATTCAACAAGTTTCAACAAAATGATGTCATATGAGTTGAGAATGAGCATGTTTTTTCATATTTTTAAGAATAACGGTGATGCACAAGATTATGTGAATTATAGAGGAATTAAATTAACGTGTCATACTTTAAAACTATGGGAGAGAGTAATGGATGGAGCATAGTTTGCGGCGTGATACTAATGTTTCACAAAATCAATTTGAATTCATGCCAACTAGGTTTGGGAAGTTGGATGGAGAAATATAGAGAGGATAAGGAGGATTTACATATGATATTTATTGATTTAGAGAAAACATATGATAAAGTTCCAAGATAAGTGCTATGGAGAGTTCTAGAAAAGAAAAGGGTAATAATGTTTATATTCAAGTCATTAAGGATATTTATGCAGGAGCTGTTATTTGTGTTTAGACGAAAGGTGGTTTGGCCAAGTATTTTCCTATTTCAGTTGGATTACATCAAAGATCAATTTTAAGCCCATAAATTTGTTGCTTTAGTCATGGATGTTCTAATGACTAGAGTACACGTATTACATATCTTGGGTCTATTGTTTAGAGTGATGGTAAAATATATGGGGATATTATTAGTGGAATTCAAGTTGGATGGTTGAAGTGGAGGAATGTATCGGGCTTATTGTGTGATTGAAAAGTCCCTTCAAACTTAAGGAAAAAACTCTATAAGATGGTGGTGAGACCTGCATTGTTTTATGGTGCAGAATGTTAGCTATTAACAGAGAACCATAATATTAAGTTAAGTGTTGCAGAGATGATGATGCTTAGGTGGATGAGTGGCTTTACTCTTAGAGAGAGGATACGAAATGAGCATATACGTCAAAAGGTTGGAGTAGCCTTCAGTGGAAGATAAGCTTAAAGATACTCGCCTTAGATTGTTTGGTCACATAAAATGACGGCCTTCTGATGACCCGGTTTGGAAAATAGATGTATTACATTTGACTTATGTTAAGAAAGGTAAAACTAAACCTAAAAAAACTTGGTTAAAAATATTAGAAATGACCTTTCTTTATTTGATTTAAATGAGAATTTGACTCTTAATAGGACACAATGGAGGAAAATAATTCATGTAGCCGAGCCCACATAACAGGAAAGAAAAATTTAAGTAATTAGGTGCCCACAGGTAAAGACAAATTTTCAA